GGTGGCTGCGTGGGGTAGGCGTGATGGGGTTGCCAGAGACGAAGGTGGGTTCTCTTACTTTCCGTCCCTGGCGAGTGCAATGACGCGCGTCGCCAAGGCCGTCGAAGGGTCTTTTCGAGCCTTGGGGAGGATGATAATGACAAGTTAGGACAGGCAAGGACGGTATGACGTTGCACCATCGACGATGTCGTTTCCCGCCACGTAGAAGCGACGTCGTGGGCGGTCCATGTGTGACGTTAACTACAGATGTGTGTATCCCAACACGGATGCATGTGGTCCACAGTGGGGTGTCTGAAGACTCTGAACCACAGAAGATCGACGAGCCTGGTGCACACCCAGCGGGTCGACGCGGGTGTAGTACAAGCCTGCGTGCCTCGGATAAATGTTGCCTGCTCCCCGCGAACATCTTCACTGCCGCGGAAGGACCACCGCCGACGCAATTGTTGCCATCTCGCCAGACGTGGAGGATCTCCGTTGGAGTCGTCGTCCTTCTGTCGCACACGTGGACGTCTGTCGCCAATCATTCCGCCGCGGAACATTCTCGCCGCCAATCTTTTTGCCGCGGAGCGCTCTCGCCGGGGTCGTCTTCCTTCTGCCGCACAAGTGCGCGTCGTCGTCTTCTTTCCGTGGAGGAGAGATCTTCTGCGTATTACGGGTATTCGTCGTCGTCATGCCAAAACAGAACGGAATATATTTTTCTCGCTGGATCGACGGAACTTCATATGGCGGTCGACGAAGCACGTCCCGATCTTCCGATCGGACCACCAAGCTCGCCTGCAGACGTGCCCACGAAACATGTCCACGCGAGGGAGTGCCCATGGTAAGAAGCGCGACGGCGTCCCTGACGAGAGCCAAGGGTAGGGAAGAGGTCGGCGGCATGTCCCGAAAGAGAAGAGGGCGCGTTTGGATGATGCGTCACCAAGCTTGCCTCCTCGTTCAGCGCAAGGTTGGGCGGCAGCAGCGGAAGGCGACTACGACGACGACTTGACGACGGAGGAAGAGCATGCAGAGGCGACAATGTCTGGAGTACGGGAGGGCGCATGGCAGCGCTCTTCTGATCAGAGCGCTTCGAAGAGGTTGATGACCCCTCCACCCGAGGCGCAACAACCATGTGCCCGCGATACCCGGACAGAGAAGGCTGTCGTCGTCGATGTGGAGGTGACGATGACGAGCCCTTGCACAAACGACGCCTGTGCACTCCAACACAAGGCACCCCAGCGCTGTCTGCAACGGCGCGCGCTGTGGTAGACGAAAGGCGAAACACGGGTGGACTGCCCGCCACGCCGTCTCAGCCATGTCAGCGCAATCCGGGTGATGACGGAGGGTCTGTCGAGCGTGGCGGCGGGGGGAAAGTCATGGCAGAAGCTCGTGCAGTTGGCAGCGAGGCAGTAGGTGGTGCGGGTGCGGGTGCTTTGGGCACTTTGGCCCCCGTTGCGGCGGCGAGAGAGGAGGCGACAGTTGTTGCGATGGTTAGAGAAGAGGCGCGTGGCGAGAACAAAAGTGATCGGGACGGCGGCGATCCCGGTTCAAGCCGGGTACGTAGGGGACTGATGACGAAAGACCCCGTCGATCGTGGCGTGCTTTGGGTTGATGACAAAGCTTTCTGGACGACGGGGGAGGGGCGAAGACTATACAACATCGTCCACGAAATGAGAGAGTACTTTGTCGCCATCGCCAGCGGCCTTCCAGCGCCTGTCATCCCTCGGAGCGTCGTCCTGCCCAAATCCAGCACGAAGGTAGCCAGGATCACCGACCCATCATAGCTGCAGCAAGCGATCTCCCGTGCGGCTGCAGTGGAGAACATTGCTCTGCGCATCTTGCACGGCTGGATTTTCAAGTCCGGGAACCGCCCAAGCGGATACAATGTGGCTTTCCAGTACTCCCTCGAGTCCGTAGCGACGGACATTGCGTGTGCAATGTGGTGCGGCGAGGAGTGGTGCAACATCGTCAGTGCGGCGGTATGCGCGCACACGATAGATCTATCCATGGACTTGCCACTACGGTTCGTCGGTGCCAACATCGAGGACAGACCTGAGGACGACGACATGGCGGCGTACCAGGACTCTACCTTCATCTGCGTCTCGCATGCATTCCGCGCGGCAGTGCAAATGGGTGCCCACATCAACGACGACTTCATCTCGTACGACCGTCTCTGTCGGGTGGCTGACTGCTTCAGGCTTTTGTTGGCGGCGTGCATGTGGATAATGCGCATGGCAGGAGACGATCCGCGCAGCCACTACGAAGCTTTCTACTTCGCGGACCTGGTGGCGAAGCCCACACTCGTCGCGTCCATGCATTGGTCCTTCGATCATCGACGATCTGTCGTCCACGCAGCAAAAGTCGTCACGGACAGGCTCGGGAAGGCGAAAACTACGTTTGGAGAGTACCCCGACTACATCCCTAGATGGGCACCCTGCGACATTGGTTTCAGGCACGACGCGAGCATAACAGGGCCGGAGGATGCAAAGAAGCTAGATTGGTTGGGTTCGGGACCCCCGATGATGACAACAACAACGACAATGGAGAAGATGACGTGTAGGGGGTGAGGGGAGTGGTGGGGTGCGCGATGGAAAAGATGACGCGGGACGACACAGAGGGGGGGGGGAGGCGTTGCTTGTGTGAACAAGGGCGCATGTACACGTGGCTGGTCGTGATGGGCTTCACTATGGATCGTTGTGCAGTGCGCACCTGTTTAGTGTGTCGGTCGGAGGGATTGCCCAAAATCATCGTCGGTTGTGCAGATGTTTAGTGTGTTGGCCGTGGCATAACGATGGGTTCATTGATTTCAATCGTGTGTTTCGCGTGCAGGTCAGGGCTGTTTAGTGTGTCCGTCGTCGGAGTCGACGACAGGTTGATTAATTTGATTTCTGTATTTTGTTTTTATCATCGCAGTTCGCTGCGCAACACTTTTATTTTTGTCATGTGTCCGCTGTTCTCGTCTCTTCGCTGGAATGATTCATAGATGATCGCCTCATATGCATGCACACAATCCATGTTTGCCTTTCTCTTTTTTTTGTATTTTTCTTCGTTAACTTACATTATGCAGGTTTTATGAATGATATCAACAGCCATGTTTGACGTCCCACCACGAAACCATTCATGACAAACGAATTGGAAAGACACACAAAATCCAGGTTATACCACACGAAACCATTCATAACAAACGAATTGGAGAGACACACACAAAAAAAGAATTAAAAACATTGTACAGAATCCAAAAAAAAAAAAAAAAAAAAAAAAAAAAATCTTCCCACCACACGAAACCATTTATGGCAAAACTATTTGAACACACACACGCACAAAAAGTTCTTCCAATATTAAACGTTCGCACCACTGTTGGAACCACTCAACCGTCAAAACGATGAAAACAAAAAAAAGAACTCATCGACGACAACCATGCCGCCATTCAATCGTGGATGCAACTTCGCGCACTACGACCATGGACAGGGACCACGTGACAATTCCACCCGCCTACCGATCACACCAACCCACGTCCTCCCCTTCCCCCTTCCCGCACCCCCACCCCCCCCCCCCCCCCYCCCCCCGCCCCTCCCTCCCGTCCACACGGTCCTACATCAAAGCTAGGCGGTCTCGAAGTGCATCCCGCAACAAGTCCCCATCGACGTTCGTGCTCCGTCGCCACCTGCCCGCGCCGTTCCCCACGATGCCCAAGTCCACTCTACGCCGAACGCCGTTCGCATCCACCTCCCAAAAAAGGTTCTCGTCGAAGTCGATCCCCGCGTCGAGGAGGATATTGTGGAGAGTGCAGACGGCCCTGAATTGTCGTGGCAAGGTCTCCAGGTTCGTCTTGTGGGTGCTCAAGAACAGATGCCACATGCACTTCAGCCGCTCGAATGCCCTCTCCACACATCCCCGCACCACCTTCTGCCATGTGTCGAAGCGCTCCTCGTCAGGACCTTGATTGATTCCTCCATACGGCTGCACGATCCATGGACAGGCAACAAGATAACCGTTGTCGCCAGCAGGTAACCTCGCGTGACGACACCGTGCGGCAGATTCTCCGGAGACGCGTCGAACAGCTCGCCAGTTTTTGCACGCCTCCACAACTGGGAATTGTGCAAGACATGGACATCGTGCACAATTCCCGGGTATCTGACGTGGACGTCGAGGATCGGCAGATCAAAATCCACCACCACCTGCGCTTGCACGGAGAACTTCTGTTTCCAGTCGTAGTAGTTGACCAACGGTTCGCCGGGGGGCTTGTCAATGTAGATGTGTGTACAGTCGATTGCGCCAAAGCAATTTAGGAAACCCTTCTCACGGAAAGCGCGCAGAATCTGCGCACGTCTACGGCCCACTGGCCACTTTATCGCGTCGGGGTACGCCTGCAACAGCGTCGAAGTGACGTCGCGGACGACCTGCAGTCCAGTTGCCCTGCCGATGCCGAAGGCTGACGTGCCGCTTGCGTACGTCTCTCCGGACGCCCACCTGTACAACGCGAAAGCGATCACCTGCTCCACTAGCAATGACATTCTGTAGTGTGTGACCTTCTTCTCCACGTACGCGACGCACGCGGCTACGATCTGGTTGAACATGGCCATCGACATGCGCAACTTCTACCGGTAGTACTCGTTCGTCGTGTCATCACACAGGTGGAGGTCTTCCCATGTTCCACCAGTCCGTCGTCTAATCCACCAACGTGGGGTCTGCCGTAGGAAAATGCCAGACGACAACGCCGCACACACCTGGACGACTGCCTCACACGTGGCCACGCAATCCGGTGCTTCGGCAACGCTCTGCAGCAGCGCTCGTCGTTTGGGGAGCTGCATCACTATGTCGCATGAGGACGACGACATGTTGCTCATCGTGTTCACGAGGACGACAGTCACCGCCATCGCTACTGCGTCGATCTCTTCTTCGCGTAGACCGTGCCCGCAGCCGCGAACGTCCATCTCTGACGCCGCCGCCATCGTCACCGCCGCGAATGCCCGTTGATCAACCCTGGCGCAGGAGACCACGCACGCCGGAGCCGAAGATGTGCCCGCAGCTGTACGCTGCCACAGGAGATGACGCACGCCGGACCCGAAGACGCGCCCACTGCTTTACGCTCCCACAGGACAGTGCGCACGCCGGAGGTGAAGGTGCGCCTTGCAGGAAGATGCGCCCGCTGCTCACAACTTGCGTAGACTCGAAAGATGGACACCGACGCCGAACGGTTCACCAGCGCCGTCTTTTCTACGTCACAGGCGTCGCCTGGCCGTCCTGCGCCCCCCCCACCCTGCGTCCACGAAAATTCGAATTTGAATTTTCGAAGTTCTGGGTCACCACGCTTTTCACCGACCCGTCCTCACCCGCCCAAGGGCCACCGCAGTGTGTACCACGGACACCAGCCAGGAATGGACGGACATCGGCGGCGCGGCTGCGTATACGCATATGAAAAACGGTCGCGGGAGACCTTTTAGGACGAATCGTAAAAGATGATTTTTAGGATTGCATGTAACGACGACGCACGAAATCCTAAAAAAACATTTAGGACTCGTCCTAAAAATTTTAGGATTCTTTTAGGAGTGTCTAACGAGACCCTAAATCCAAATGTCCATAACGAGCGTTTTCAATCAGATCTGAGTGCATAGCTCACGCAAGTGAATAGGGGACAGAGACGAGACAAGCATCGCAAAACAAATTTGGAAATCCAAAAAGATCGCTAATAAAAAGGACTTCACATTCATTCCATGCATACATACGAAGTAAACGAGCACGAAACGACAAGGAAAATCCAAGACAATTTACAAGAGAAGTCCAAAAAGCCGCGATAAAAATCGGCCATATCAGGATCCAAAATTGTACAGATGAACAAAGGAAGGAAAGGGGCAAAGGAAAGAACCCCATCCCACACCCACAACTGCTCTCTCTCTCTCTTTCTCTCTCTCTCTCTCTCTCTCTCTCTCTCTCTCTCTCTCTCTCTCTCTCTCTCTCTCTCTCTCTCTCTCTCTCT